GCAATTCAGTCCTTCGATTGATCGCTGAATCATACCTTCCTCGTGGACCTTACTTGCCGTTAAGCTTATCGATAAGTATAACAGGAGTGGTGTGTAATTGGAAGTTGTGCGCGACGTATTCGTGTCTCGATTGGGAATGCTAACGTACGGGTCAACTGGCATGCGGTATAGCAACTTACGTATCTTGTTTGCGTCTGCGTTGTCACTTCTCAATTGATTTGTAGAACAGTAGGTAGTTAAAACCTGACCGACACCACTTCATTGACACAAGATCAGGTGTGTTCTTCAGATTTTGCTGTGCTCCGACTCAAAGTTTTCTTGTTAACGTCGCCAGCGCGTAAGCATGCTGGAGGTTGGTTCAATCTAATTTTTTTTGTCAAGCGTGCTTATCACAGCTTTCTCAGCACAGTACTTCTGAAAATTTTGTTCAGAAATAGCACAGCACAAATTTTTTCAAAGCATATGCCGAAAGAAAACAGCATCTGGATACGCAGTTTGTTCAAACGATACAGATATAAATGATTGATATGCGAGGTTTAACGTACCAAAATCACCATACGATTATGAGAGACGCTGTAGTGGAGGGCTCCTGAAGTTTCGACCACAGAGGGTTTTTTAACGTACAGTGGTGAGCACTGTAAGAGTGAACACGCGAGCGCGTGGCCGAATGCACTATCATCGCCACGTAACAGCCATTGTTGGAAACATCGCACATGCGCAGCATGTGCTGTGCGAAACACTGTTTCCACCGCGCGCATCACGTCATCGATACGCTTGTTCGTCGTCTACTAGGCGCCATTTTTGTTCGCTGAGCTGATACCTTTTGCATTTCAAGGTCCATCTAGATCGAAGATTGGCGCGTGAAGGAAAAAAGTGAGTGTAAGAGGGGTAATTATTAAACTTTTTATTCAAGAAAATTGCACTTTTGCAATTCAAGTTAAACAAGACCATGAGAACAAATATAAAAACATGAGCAAATCTAATAGCGAGTCATGTGATCACTTACAGCAACGACTGCAGCTATTCTGGACGGTAACGAGTCGTACAGTGGTCGAACATATTCCCGATCGGCTTTCAGCCTTTCCCACTCGTTGCTGACTTGCGCCCTCAACTGGTCCGAAGTCGCGGAATAAAGGGGCTTCCTTGACAAAGAAGCTTTCAGACGGCCCCATACGTTTTCTATCACATTCACGTCCGCTCCCTTCGGAGGCCATTCCAGTAGCTGCATGTGCTGCTCCGCCTGGAACTCCTTGACAGCCCGCGCCGTGTGTAACGGTGATCGGTCCTGTTGGAACAGGTAATCACTATCGGGGAATAAACTGTTCGCATATGGCAACAGCACATTGTTCCAAATGTTGCAGTGTTGTTCCGACGATAAGTGTCCACGTATACGTTGCAGGGGCCCTAAACCATATCTTGAAACAGCACCCCACACACTCACACTCGATCTCCCACTGGCAGAAACACCTTGCACGTTGTCTGGGTCGTTCCTGCGTAGCATTTTGACGTTAACTAAAACAATTGCTTTTCAAAGCAGGCCTTTCAATGGCTTCCAAGTCATTGTGGAATAATTGGCAATGAACGGGCCGATCGAGCTGCCCGTTCTGCCCATACTGAAAGTGACGAAATATCAATTCCGCTTTCCAGAACTGACGCTGCACGGAAACTCCGCATGCTTGCTCGCAAGCGCACCACGTCACAATGGAACGAGTCACATTTCATCCATGCACGGTTAGGTACTTTAGACCCAACTCTCAGTCTTCGAATTCCTCCAGAATTACTCCGACGAGACGCTACTATGCTGTCCAGATTATGGTTGGGTGTCGCATTTACCCATGCGTACGCGTTCCGCATAGAAATGGCTGACACTGCTGCATGCGACCATTGTGGCAGTGATGAAATGACTTGGCACATTCTGTGTGAATGCCCACAATGCTGCTCGCAGAGACAGTCACTCTGCAAGACTCTAGATGAACTGGACAACCAGCCTCTTTCGGAAGAAAGAATCCTGCGCTGCCGACAGGACTTCATGTCGCAGAAGAAGGCTGTGAAGGCGCTCCTGCGCTTCTTGCGTTCAACCGGCCTGTCCAAACGACTGTGATCGGAACTCCCTGAATGTGTGTGCATGTGGTTTTTTCTAATTTGTTTTATATCTCTCTATATCTATCCTCTTTCCGACCCTTTTCCCCACCCCCGTACAGGGTAGCAAACCAGTTCGTCTGGGTTAACCTCCCTGTCTCTTCCTTTTATTTATTTCTCTCTCTCTCCAAAGCAGGAAGTTTGCCTCACCGTGTGCCTGGTAGTCTCCAAACACGCAATCTTTGGTCTTGTCGCGTCGAAAACGTCGACTTCTCCCAAAAGATGACGCGACCCCACTCTTCGGATGTCCATGCTTCGTGCAACTCAGTGAACTGCCGTCGTGCGTCCTTGTGTGCCGCCGTTAGTAGTGGCTTCTGCGCTGCGACGTGACTGCGAAGGCCCGCAGTACGCAGGCGACGTCGAACAGTGGTGTCCGAAACGTCCAAATCTAAGTCCTCGTGTATTGCTGGGGCTGGCAAGAAAGGGTTACGAACAGTTGCTGCAACTATGAGGGCGTCTTCATCGTCTGTGGTAGCTTTAGGGTGGGGCGCGCGGGGAGCATCCTGAATGCGACCTTCATTCTTGTAGGCTTGAATTATCCTGTTCACAGTCTTCAGGGGCCTGTTAACTAAAGCGCCAATATACCGCTGGGAATAACCTTTCAGGGAAAGATCAACAATTGAGCGCCGTTCATCATCAGGAACCCTAGCCATAATACGATCTGGCGACAGAATGAATGGCCGCAAAAGATGTTTGGTTGTTTTATATACAGTGTTGCATGCACAACAACTTTGAAAGGAAACTAATAGACACGCCCCTATATATATACAATTTTTTTTTGCTTTGTTCTGTTCAAGCACAGATGTTTAAAGAAATCTTAAAATGCAGAGTGCATGGGCTTAGAAAACAAAAATGGGGCTAGCAGACGACGAACAAGTGCATTCATGACGTCATGCGCGCGGTGGAACAATTATTTCGCGGAAGGCGTGATGCGCATGCGCAATGTTTCCAGTGATGGCCGTAACGGGGCGCTGACAGTGCCGTCGGCCACGCGCTCACGTGTTCATCCTAACAGTGCTCACCGCTGTACATCTAAATCTGAGCACACGGGCCTACAGCATTTTCGCCTCCATTGAAACTGCAGCCGTCGCCGCCCGGGAATCCATTCCGCGACCTGCGGGTCAGCAGCCGAGTGCCTTAGTACCTTAGGCAGGGGTGCACAAAGCTACAGAATATAGAAAAGGCTAAATGTGGGAAGGGGGAAGATGCCACTGCCTAAATGGCTTGTTTGTCACATACGGGTTTCTTTTTCACAAACACAAGAAAAAAATAAAGCAAAAGAAAAGCGCCTATGTTTGAATTGCTAATATGAGCAGATGTTTCAGTCACTCGTAATTATTTCTACGTATTGCGAACGAGAGAAGTTCGCCAACGCAATACAAGTATTATAATTTGATTTCAGAGCCTAAGGCATTCGGGGCCAGAAGTTACGTACGTCCCTTTGCTGTGCTCTTAAACCTGTAGCATGTACACTAACATGTCTTTAGAAGACTACACTTACCGCGACGTCATTGCGCCCTACTTTTGAGACCTGTGGTTATATTGAACTAAATCTGCTTGAGCGTGCTGAACTTGAGAAAGACCGAAAATGTTTCTCCAATTAAGCACTCGAACGCTTACGGTCGCTTCACAACAGGGTGGATGGTTTCGTGTTTCCGCGTCGGCACTGGACATTCGGGAAGGTGCTGTCACGACTACTCTCGAAAAGTTTAAATGTTAGAGACCTCGCATGGAATTGGTAATGAGTGACCCTTATAATCTGGCGTTGTGTCGTAATGTGAGTGGCCGGGGCTGTCACAGCAAAGTACGCCGAATAGCTTAAGGGCCACTGGCATTTACAGTCGGCCACAAAAGATTACAGACTGCTCGAGCGCGTGGCCAAAATCCTCTTCGCGACACTTCAGCTACTTCAGCGCCGGTCGACAGCTACGCAGTGCGCCCCAGAAGCATCCCTCCTTTAATTTATGGCCTGTGTCTTTTCCGACTGGGTGCAACTATTTTTCATCTTTCACCTTTCAACGCGACACGCTTTTTGGCATCTGCGTTTACAGGCTCACAGGTTGCCTCGACAGCAGCAACTAATATCACAACTGTTATCACAACTGCTATCAGTCACAATCTTTATCACAAAGTGGTACCTTAGCCAACTGAACGCCGTTTGAGGCACGTACGCTGTGGTAGCTTTTGTCCTGCGATGAAAACAGCAATATGACAGTCATACTGCAGATAAGCGCTCGCGTGAAAACTGCAAACTAACGATGCGTTACGTGGCTGCATAGAAAATTGAAAAGGCAGTGAATAACACGACCTGCTTCCAGCCTAGCAGTGCGATTGATGGTAGATAGCGCACCGCTAGGTGGCGCGGACAGACAGTTTGGCATAGTTTGAAACACGTTCGCGTGGTCCACAAACTTTTGTTGTTGACTGTACCTTGTTCCATCGCGCTGCACGCCCCTTTTTGGCTTGCTGTCCGCGCTTCGTTTTTTTTTTTTTAATTGATCATGTCTTCAGAATAATCTGAAAGGAGGAATCGGGGTAGTTCAATTGCGTGAAAATCTCGCGAGGATAGATCAGCTTACAACTTCTAATACCCCCGCCCTCACGCCACATACATTTACGCCTACTGCATCTAGTGTTTTCTTTCCTTTTTGTCTGCCTGCAATTTTTTTGAGGTTCAAATTAGTTGAATTAGCTCGCTAATCTACGAGATAACTCTGCCTTGTCAGCACTAAATTGCGCGGCATATTTTCACTTCATCGACGTGTTTACAAAAGTGCAGCTTCGGGAAAGCTGTGCGCAGTGTGATATTTTCTTCCTCTTTGTGTTTCACGTGAATTCAATGAATTTTTTTTTCATTACAGACCGATCACTGCCGGTGAAATTGGGTGTTTCATGAGCCACTACAACATCTGGAAGGACGTGAGTTTGTCATTGAATACACTAATAATACCCCTGATTTCTCCTTATTAGGCTCGTGTGCATGTCGTACATTTACGCTTGGAGAAAATCAGAAAATTGGCGCCGCGCCACAGCTGCTGCCATGGGATAGAAATTTGTTAAAGGTACACTTGTTACGGGTGTGCGCATGTATGTGTGTGTTTGCACGTGTGTGTGTGTGTGTGTGTTGTGTGTGTGTGTGTGTGTGTGTGTGTGTGTGTGTGTGTGTGTGTCTGTGTGTGTGTGTGTGTGTGTGTGTGGTGTGTGTGTGTGTGAGCGCCCATGTGTGTGTTTGTTCGTGCAGGTGTGTATGTGGGTGTGTTTTACGTATGCGTATTCTTCGTTCAACCACAAGAGCCTCATATGATCCCGTCAAATAACATCGTGGGGTCAGTCACATGCACTATTGTTGCCAACAGCATCGTGTCGTAGAAAAGTAGCTGGCGCCAGGCATAGACAATAAACGTCCCCCTAAATGCACCTTTACAAAAAAAGGGAACAAAAAAGTCAATCAAACAGTGATCGTAAGTCGCGTTCGCGGCGTTCCTTGCAGCTAATGTACCGTTTCGCGAAGTCAGACAACATGAGTCAATGACTTTCATTTATGTTTATTTATTTATTTTACCCCTCAAGGCCAAAGGCATTACAGAAGGGGGTGGGAAAAATACATACATATATACACCAGTAAAACGAACACAGTGAGTAATAATAAAAGTAAAGCAAAACGGGCTAATATATTTAAATAACATTGGTTAGTGCTTCTCAAAAACATTTATTGTTGGTGATTGATGTAAATTATTCAGATGAAAGATGGTTCCACTCGATCGCGGTGCATGCATGGTCAAAATGATTGGGAGAATGTTTTCGTTTTTGAAAGTGGAACACCTACTTTATGGCGATGACCAATGCAGTGGAACACATACTGTGGTAGAAGGAGTGCGCCGTGAATACTTGGATGATAATATATATTATGAAACAAGTTGAGGCCAGCAATTTTTCGACGTGTGCTTAAAGATGTAAAAGAAAGGATGGCTTTCATGGCTGATATGCTGACAATGCGATTGTAGTTAGAATGAAACAAGCGCGGTTATTCTGAACGAGTTCTAAGGCAGTGGTTAATTCTGTTTGCGTTGGGTCCTACAAAGAGGCAGCGTATTCGAACTTTGGCCGAATTAAGGTTTATGACCATTGTCGCTCTTCACCAGAAAAAAGCGGCATTTCAAGGAGACTTGGTGACCGTTGCACATATTGATTATTGCACATATCGGGCAAAGCACGACAGTACTTTATTTGAATCACCTAAAGCTAATTAACGTTAGCGCATTCCAAATCTCGTTTTTTTCTTTTTTTTTCTTCTTTGACTTTTTTTTTTGGTCATCTGTTAGCAAGAGTGCACCTTTTCGATTTAAAATTTGTTTTTGATGCCTTGTCCCTCTGCCTGTCGTAGATGATCGATAATCAGCACCGCATTGCCCTGATCTTCGAGGATGACATCCGGTTCGAGCCGTATTTCCGGACAAAAATTGGGGAGCTTCTGACCGAAGTTCGGCACCTCGACTGGGATCTCATGTGAGCGGGATTGTCTAACCATATTTGCCTTCTGAACAACTGAACTTGGAAGCCTTGGACAGCTTTTAAATGTTTTATATGATTTGTTGGGTTTAACGTCCCAAAACCACCATATGATTATGAGAGATGGAAAATGTTATATATATATATATATATATATAGTATTAAACACCTAACGTATATTTAAGTATCTTCTGCCCTGTCAGTACCTCACCCTTCTTTCTTTAGCATCCTGACCGCCGTGTTGATTTGGCTCTTCTGTGGAAATTCACACTGGCTTCTACTCAAGATACACGCACCACACAGAGGCGCAGTGTTTGGTGTGTGTATCATGGGTGGAAACAAGTGTGAGTGTGTTGCGTGTTTCTAGATATTGAACTTGCACTAAACTACTTATAGTATTACCGTTTCTGATGGTCTACTTCACTGATGCGACAATGGTATACGACACGTCTAGGCTTCCAAAATATGTTGTGCATTCGTTTGACATGGCATTACAAAGAAGCAAATCGTATGCATTCGGCGCTTTTTTTCCTTTCCGGCGTTGACATGAAAACTATTGCCACTGATAATGTTGACGATCTCGAGTGCTGAGCTTTTTATATTCTTACTGCCATAAGTTAATGCTACACAATCTTTCTTTCGTGCCTTGTCATGTATGTTGTCGCCTTGCTCAGACTGGAGCCTTGTAACCGCACTCTGTCATAATTGGTGTCCCTCACGTGCGCAGATACCTTGGCCGCAAGCGGCTGTCGGGCTCCAAGGAACCTCTAGTTACTGGCTCCTCCCGGCTTGTCCACGTAGACTACTCCTACTGGACGCTGTGCTACGCCCTGACGCTGGCTGGTGCCCGCAAGCTCGTCGATGCAGATCCCTTGCCCCGGATGGTGCCCGTCGACGAGTATCTCCCCATCATGTTCGACAAGCATCCAGAGTGAGCAGCCCTTTTTTATTGATTGATTGATATGTTGGGCTTAACATCCCAAAGCCACCTTATGAATATGAGAGATGCCGTAATGTAGGACTCCAGAAATCCAGGCCACCTGTGGTTCTTTAACGTGCACTCAAATCTGAGTATACGGGCTTACAGCGTTTTCACCTCCACCGAAAATGCAGCCGCCGCCACTGATATTCGATCCCAGCAGCCGAATACATTAGTCACTAGACTACTGCGGCAGGGCAAGCCCTTGTTTGTGTGTGTCTAGGTGTTTGCTTTTTACAGAGACAGCAGTTATGGACTCGATATTGGTTGTCTTTGTGTACGTCAGCCCATCTCATTAGACGGACGATGGCTGCTATCGTCTTGGACGAAACTCCTGCTACTACGTTTTTCTCATTGTCATGCCGTGTCGTATAACAAAGGGTTTTGCCATTACCACAGCTTGAAGAAAGATAAACTTACTCGGTGTCTGCACCGGTATTTGAGCCTATGCCATTTAGGTGATGCGCCTTTTGAAACCATTCGCGCGGACCCCCCCCCCCCCCCCCCCCCCCAGCTGTCGCTCTCATGGGCGTAGCCAAGGAGGGAGGTAGGAATAGGGTTCAAACCCCTTCCTAAAATTTTTCAATTTCGCTTGTGTATATAAGCATGCACATATACAAACGCGCTCACGAACACACATAAAGTGTAATGTAAATCCCTTCCTCCCTTCCTGAAACAATTTTTCGGTCGCGCTCCTGGTCCCCCTTGTGATTTGTTTCTTTCATGGGGTTGATTTGCGCATGGGTCATATTTCATAATCTTTTCTTCGGCAGTGCTTCTAGGTATTGTGCGGCGCACTACCTGGGATGATTGGAGTCTGACAATCACATAAATCGGCTAAATCGAAGTTCATTATTTCGGTCTGGACAATTCATCGTCACCACATCGCTACACAAGAGTGATGCGACATACATGGCTCGCATATGAGTTTATTGAAGATTATTCTCAGTGGTCAGATTATTCCACGAATCTGCGTTGCATGCCATTGCTGCAGATATTATTCTTCAATAGAGCTAATACCACAAAGTTTTTAGGAAATGTCTTCACTGGGAAAAAAATTTGGCGGCTTCGCAGTTGTGGCGCCGAGCATGAAGGAAGAGCGTAGCTTGGTGGCCTTCCTTTATTCTCTTTATTTTCTTTCTTCTTGCTCTTTCTTTCTCTCTCTTCCATGTACCTTTATTGTATCGGCTTTTTTTCTTCTCTACCTATCTTTTTTGTTCTCTTTCTCGCTTTCTCTGTCTCTATTTTCCTTTCTTCCTCTCTCTGCCTTTTCCTATCTCCTTCTTGGCTTCCCTGTATCTCTTACTTTCTCTTTCTGTCTTGCTCTGTTTTTCTATCTCATTTTTCTATCTCTTTATATCGCTTCTGTCTATATATTTCTCTTTGTTTCTCTCTCTCTTTGTCTCTCTCTATGTTTTTTATATATTTATGTATTTATGTCCTAATTACCTCCACGTTCTATTGTATATTCCTGATTTTTATCACATTATTTTCAAATTTTTATCGTGCTTCTTGCAGGATAAAAAACACTCGCGCCTCCTCTACACGGTAGTCAATTGGGCTTGCTCCATTCTTGTGGCGTATACTTCCTTGAGGAATATTCTGGTGGCGCCGCACAAACTATGGCGAGCTACGACAGCTTCGGTGTAAAAAAAAAACGGTAGTGCAAACTAGGTGCCCATATGAAAAGGGTGGTCGTCGCAATACGTTCGTTGAGAGCCAAATGAATCACTAAGCCTGCTATGGTTTCGTTCTCTTTGTTTAGTTCTTTGTACTTCGCTTCTCAGTGGCATGGTCGCGATTAGGGAAAACTTGTTATAGAACTCTTAGACGCGTAATGTTATCATTGTTGCTCAGATAGTAAAAGCCAGTCACGATTGCTTGAGGAAAAAAAGGGATGAGGAGCTGAACTGGTGATCCAGCGTAAATATAGTGTAGTTTTTAATATTTTTTTAGATTATTCTGCTTGCGAATTCACTGTATTCGCTATTTATGAATATTCTGGTGACAGTGATAGTACTGATATCATGCCGCAAACATTTTACAAAATAGAAAAGTGCAAAGGTCACCTAGAACGAAAAATTCCGATTGCTACCGTACTGGGAACAGCAGATGGGGAGAAACGTCACGAGCAATAAATCGTGTGTATTTTGAGTGAAAAATAGGGCTGTTTTTTTTATGAAACCACGATATCTAGGAATTAGACATTCAGAGCATAAAGCATCCACGACATTGTGCACTGTCGTCCTTCATGAAAAGGAACACGCGAACGCGTGGCCTGCGCTCTGCAGCGGCTGCCTACAGCACCATCAACCGACAGCAAAAGGAAACACGTTCGATTTTAGCGCCATCTGTTGCCAAAAAAATAAATAACGAGTTATGGCTGGTACACAAGCGCAGCTAGATTGCACTCCATGCTCACGCCTGTAGTGCGTACTCAACTGCCAACATATCAAACGTTGTGTGCGACCACGGCGCAAGCTGCAGTAATCGCCTGATATCGCTCGCCGTGCGAGCGGTGAGGGAACGTAATCTAGCAGCGCTTGTCTACCGGCCATGATTCGTTATCTTGATTGGCCATAGATGACGCCAAAAGCGAACGTACTTTCTTCATAGAGAAATAGACTATACTAAGAGTGGCCACTGGAGCCTATATTCGCGGCCCAGCAAAAAAGGGTCTGACCAATCATGGATAGATGGCGTACCCATCCTCGCTTTTGCTCCCTTATCAAGATTTGTAACCACCAGTCACCACTAATTTTGTAATAGCCTCTTCAGGAGGACAAGTGTTGCCCAACTTTGGCATCAATTTTTTGCAAATAAGAAATTTTATGAACTTGCGCAATTTTTTGTATGCTCTCTACATCATGTCCCGCTGAGGTCATTCAACGCATCACAACATAAAACAGTAAAGTATGACTGGAAAGTGTTGTCTTTCTGCATTTGTTTTGCACAAAGAGGCACATTCATGTGGTTTAGATGTGCTGTACATGCATTCCTTTCGCGGAAGCATGGGTGGGTAGCCTAGTGGTAAAGACACCAAGGAGGTTCCATAGAACTTCTGGAGTGGCAGCCCCGGCCGCCGCCAACGGGAGCAAGGGAAGCCGCCGGCGGCCATATTGCTTGAGGAAAAACAGGGCGGAACCGCCATAGACCGCAATGAAATACGCTCGTTGCGCGCGTCGGTTGGCAGTTCCCCAATAAAAATGAGATGGAAACCACTTTTAGGTTACACCAACGAATAAATGCCTCTTCTTGTTTATAAAACAATTTATTTCATGCACCCAATGTCAGCTGCACGCTTTCAGAACTATCTGTTGTCGAGGGATGCTTCGCATATCGAGCTTGGTGGCGCACTATTGCGGTACAAAAGGGTTGTAGTATATATTGGGTGTTTTAAGAAATGCGCCTGCAGATGCTCAAGATCAAGAGGAACGCGACATTTGCTCGCCTCTTTTATATTTGTACTTGTGTGTTTGTCGGCAAATTACCAGAGAATATATATAAGGAAGTTGAACTAATTAAAGCTAAAGTTGGAAAAGAGAGGTAATCAAGTAAACTGGGAGTCACCAGTAATTTTTCTAGAGTTATCGAATTCTAACCAATTTACAGGCGGAACCAAACCCGAAGCACCGATGTCGCGTGCAACCGACAAACTCCAGGAGACGTACCTCAAATGAACCATTTATAAGAACGAGTGCAGTGGCGTTAGTTATGCATAATATTTATCAACTTCCATTGATGACGTGAGTTGCATGGCAAGCGCAGCCTTCAGAGACTAGAAACGAGGTAGTTCGATGTTTGATATAACGCCACTCACTCAACTTCGTCTATCGGTGTTTTAGTTTCGATTTCGTCGGCAAAATAGAATGGATTTCAAAGGTTTCTGATCTTGTTTTAGACGCAATTGCTTATTTTTGTCACTACATTCTATTGAAGCTACGTCAAGGAGGTAGAATCTCACAGGTTTGTCCAGATGCACTCGGAAAGCAGGAAAAATTAAAGGTGCACTGCCAGGCCACAGTCTGGTTGTCTGCCCCGTTCTGTCGAAGCAGCATTCTTCGAAGTGAATAGAACAGAGGTGATCACCGTCCGTAGCCCTCCAACTATTTCTTCGTACAGCACGTTTCCAGGCAGAACGCAGCGCACTGTCTTTCAGAAACCTGTACCACGGATAATCGCGACATGGAATTTTTCGCTACGTTTGCGGCTTCCTCGATAATTATGCACCGAATTTGTTATTCACTCGCTAAAAAATATGCATGCACGCCGTCAATCTTGCCTTGTAAGACAACACCAGAAAACTTGGAATTCAAAGGACATTCAGACGTCCTACTCGTTCCAATGTTTGATACGTGCAGCCATAGACCGTAGGTGCTTCATTCGTATACTTAAAACTGATGAACAACGTCGTGCCAGTAAGCATTTAAAGCTTCAGGTTACCTTCCATACAGCTATACGCATGTATTACATGCATGCGCATCTTTGATATTGTTTCTAATTTACAGAATACGCGAAAAAACAGGCAATCGTCAGCGAACGAAGCGAGAATACTTACACTGAAAATTGATCCCAGGCGTCTTCTTAATGCGATTTATGCAGCCATAAACGACAAACGAAATCACCATGGCCTTGTACACTCTTCAACTGCTTTACAAAAGCATGTCACAGTCTCCAAAGGCTACTGCTAGGGCGGAGCTACGAAGCGCACTTTGTCGTCTGCTTCCGAGTCTTTCCTTTTTCAATATGGCGGTGACCGGCGTCACTTATCGGGGTGCACCTCCACTCCAAAAGACATAGTATAGAACGTCCTTCAAAGACACTCACTTTCGGAGCGCGAGGGTACGGTTTCGAATGCCAGCTTCGGAAAGAAAAAAATTTGTTATTTTATTTATGCTGAAGACATTATTGGGTCTGACCAACCACTTGTGGCGCTGAAAGCAGCGCAGTAGCTGGGCCGCAGGGCCCTACGGGAGTGTCCGCTCTTTGTGTAAGTATGTTTCTCCATGCTTTCTTCTCTTCTCGGTTGATGGTGCTGAAGGCAGCCACCGCAGAGCGCAGGTCACGCGTTCGCGTGTTTCCTTTCATAAAGGACGACAATGTACAAGAAGCATACAAGAGCGTCTTATTTCTACAAGAAGCGCGTCGTGTTTGCTTCCGCGAAAACACACCTAAAGGGTTACTGACGCGAACTTTATCACTTATCGTTTTTTAGCCGAATTATAGACCAAGCCCCCGAGAGTGTATGAAATGCACCGGTATGCATCAGCGTGCCCTGAAAAATTACGTACAGCGTGCTTTTCAAAGATAGTTTCGTGTCCTACTGGACCCTCACGTCACGACGTGGTATGAGCAGCGGCATGAGGCGGTCAAGACGCGCTCGCTGGATTCCGTGCCGACCGGTTGTGCCCTCGCTATCTCCGATGACAGCGCAGCTCTTGCAGACTGGGATGGTCCCACGCTACCTCCTGCCGGGGGTCCCCTACGATGACAACAGCGTAGCTCTGACCAACTCGATTAGCCCTACGCCATCTCCTGTTGCCGACAAGAACTCTCGCCAGTGGTGCCCTGTCCTCGGACTCTTGCAACCGTGTGCATCTTTCCTGTTTTCTCCTTACTTCCGTCGCTCCCTGTCCCTGCGCCTCCCTCTCTCCTTCCTCTCTCTCTATCTCTCTGCGTTTTAATCTTATCCTTTTATTCCCTTCTCTACCTTCATCCCTCGTGAGCTACTGTTGAGGTTTCCTCCCCCTGAGAGACAGTTACGGGGCTCACTTTTCTCTTCCTTTCATTTATAATCACTTCCCCCCCCCCCCCCCCCCCCATCAGGCGGTAGTATGCGGCACGCGAAGTTTTCGGGGCGTATCCTCGTCCGCACGTATCTTCTCCGATCGTCTGCTGCGCGCCGCACGAGTGGCAACTGTCGCGGCAGGGGGGCACAACGTTGTGACGGCATAACATTTAGGGCGTCGGTTCTTTGTCGAAAGTCGGTGAGTAACTGCATGTTGAGCGTGTGCGCGTTCGGAGTGAAGTGTAGCGAACAGAGTAAACTCCACTTAATCCAGTTGCCGCCTCGGCTGCGGCGCACGAAGTCTACCCACGCTTGTCTTAGCGCCGGATGAGACGGGAATAGGCGGAAATTTGTACCTATTGCAAGGTTGGTTGTTGGTTGTTCCTCAGATTCCTGGCGCAACCTTCCACGGGGGATCGGGCATGAAACGGATGGTGCCTCATTTGTAAGATGAAATTCTTTTACCAACCGGGTTGCTTAAATACGAATATTTAAACAAAGAACCAATTGGTAAACGATAGATTACAAATAAAATAGAGGTAAGAAAAAATGAGCAAGCTAATATGGTTTGAAATAAAGTGAATTTATGCCTCAGCTTAACATTATACTCCTTTTGTTGCCTTTAGAAAATCGCATATGGCCTCGAAAACGTTTCTGTGGCTAAATCCCTTTTCAGTTGCTCCAAAGGAAAGGACCACCGGAAGGGATAAATTTAGAGCCACCCGTATTAAGAGGAAATGGTGAAGGGATTCACTCTTGTTGCAGTGAAGGCATAGGAGAGACTGTGCCAGACCAGACCTGTGTAGATAAAAGTTTAAGGGGGGAGGGGGGACTCAGCATCGTAGTCTTGTAATTGATATCTCCGCCATTCTAGAAGAGCACCATCGATTTTTACATGGGTACATAACGTGAAAAAAAATCAGATGTTGCCAAGCGACATTTTTCAAAATGATCTGATATGACAAATTTTTCAAAGCGTGTCACGGTGATATATTCAAGCATCGGCAATATAGAAATTGTGGGATAATTATGTGAGGTCACTGTGAGTGCATCTGTATATTCATTGAGGGTTAAACCGTTATGCCCTGGTATCCACTCCAAGCGAATGAGTCGTAAATGTCTTGGGGCAAGGGCGTAAAATACTTTTAAAGCATTGGACATGGCAAGGTGAATCTAAATAGGTCGCGAAAGTGGGAACGAAAACGACCCGAAACATATTACGACAGACACTAACAATAGGGTGACAATGGAGGCGCGGCTAGGTGAGGAGGGAACAAATAATGAAGAAAAAATAATTAACTATTTAGTTTCAATAGTTTTATTTTATTCGTTACAAAAAATTAGTAGATTACATTAATAAAACTTTAGTCTTTCGTATGTGGTCAAGTGCCTAATTTTTTTTTATTTGGTGTCAGAAACAGCGGGCACATGCAGGCAGTACGGTAACATGGGCCAATGGTTATGGGGGCGTTTCCAGGCACTTTGCGATCAGAGCTTGTGTTTACTTCGACGTGTTCTTTGGATCGGTGCATTTTCTTAGGTCAACGAGGCATCGCTCACTTTACCATGGTGGTATCGTGCGCACCTTCAGTAGTTTACTTACTTATTTTTTACGTGCTGTTTACTGGTGTGACCTTTCATAGCTGAACTAGCTCACAAAATGTGTAGACAGCCGCTCCTGTGCCTGCCGACTGATTTCGCTGGCGCACGGCAGGCGTGCCCTCGCCTTTGGTGACTGTGAACGTCACTGGCTAAAACAACGAGACGCCGTACTTTATGGCTGCCAAAGCTATATTTTCAAAGCTGTTGTTTCGCTGCAGTGGTTTTCAACGATTAGGCAACGTTAGTTTTTGAACTATTACGCTAATGTGCTCGTGAACCGTTATCTCACAATTGTCTCTGCGAAGTTTCTTGCGCATATTGAAAGTATGTCATTCGGCTAATAAAACAATTTTGTTTCCTCAATCATTGTTTTGTTTTTTTCTCTCCCGCATGAAATTAGCGAGGCACAAGGGGCAATAAAGTTGCGTAGTAATAAAGGCACGTAACAGGTCAATTAAAAAAGTTTGTTTCGCGCCACGTAGGACAAATGCGCGACGTCACTACCAATTCTGGTTGTGTCGCCATATTTATTTTTTTCAGTTTTTATTATTTTTTTGCTGTTAGCTGTCCCTTCTTCACGTAGATGGCGATGGTGCCAAGAAGCCGCCGACTAAAGGATCTATGGGCTTCAATGGAAGTAACGCTACCAGTTTACATATACCTTGCCTATTGTTCCCGTTTCAATTCATTGCGCTAGATTTCACAGCGCAGAATATTGGCGCCATGACGGCAAATTCAAAATCGAATGGTTTCGTTGCCCTCTGATAAGCGTATATCGTGTATTCTCGTGCGCGTACACTATTTCAGACTCCGCTAGCTCGCTTCACAGGTACGCGGGACGACAGTGACCGCATGGCGCGAGCAGACGATCAAGAAGGCGACGCGCAAGCTGTCATTTTTTTGTGTTTTGGTGCTTGGTCACTATTAGCCAGACTGTTTCATGAAGTGACCGGGATTAGTTCTGTTGCCTGACGTCAACTTAGTGCCGATGTTGGTCGGTGCGCGGGAACAAATAAAATATCAGCATTTACTGAGTGTCACATTTCCTCAGAGCCGTCTGAGTATACAAGATTTTTGTATAGCAGAGTTAAACTTGCCTCCGAAAACTAGATGTCAGTACACCTTTAAACACGCAAAAACCATTATGGATATTTTTATAGAAGAACTGTTATCGTCTAGGTTAGCTCGGCGTCGTGAGTATAAAATTATCCTCGTAAATCGACATATACGTTCTCTTTCTCTTCTACTTCATCGCCCCCTTCTTCTGCTTCTTGCGCCTATTTGTCGGGCGTGGAATGCAGTAGCTCTGTTGGACGAAAGAACAAGTTCAGAGCGAGACAGAAGAAGGAATGGAAGTGAAAGAAATGCTAAACTGGAAATTTTCGGCGTAAAAAATTTTTAGCGTGGTGGATTCGAACCCGTGCCCCCGATTCGGAGGCGAGCTTGGTAATCACTCTAATATCTAGACACGCTAGCACAGCATAGCATAATCTTGTATAGTATAGTATAGTATAGTATAGTATAGTATAGTATAGTATAGTAGAGTAGAGTATAGAAAAGGGCTGGGAAAGCAAAGTGAGGATGAAGAAGGCACATATAACGGCGAAAAGGCGGGAAACCACGTGGGGAGAACGAGCACAGAGCTGAGTGCGAAAAAGGAACATGAAGAAAACTCGATAGAATGAGAGGAAAGAGAGAAAGAAACATTGATGGTGAGAGAAGTACTGGAAAGCGGGGGTAATTACAAAAGGCATCGAACAAAATGAAAAGGAACAAAATATTGAGATACGAAAGATAGACAGAGAAAGAAATACACTTAAAGAGAAAGATAGAAAAAACACCCCAGAAATTGTAGAAGAAATCAGAGCAAGCATAGCCTTGTGAAATATAGTGTAGCAGGAAAGACGCAAAAAAAGATGGGAAGGAAAGAGTTGGGAAAGAGAGAGGTGAAATCCAGGACCAGCCAGGTGCCCACCAGCTCTGCTAAAGCCTCGCGTAAATTGACGCAAGCTTCGCTAATATTGTTCTTCTTCTTTTTTGGCATATCTGCTGCAGGAAAGTTTGGGCTGCACACTTTCCCCGGCGGGACCTGAAGGCCTTCTCCGTGCATCCCCTGTTTGTGCACCCGACTCACTACACTGGCGAAGAGCACTACATCAGCGACACTGAGGATTCAGTCGTGGTGGATACGCTGAACACTACTGACTCCGACCCCACGACTGCAGGCGTTCTGGCTCCAGCCGACGTAGCCAGTGAGCCCGAGGCTAGCAGGGATGAGCTCTGAGAGAGCGTGCCCGCACCTTCGGTTGCCGTCAAGACTCAGTCCGCGTTCTGCACTGAGACAGTGGTTGACATCAAATGGGCATTAATCGTATCACTGTTTTCGTTCTAACGCTTATGTTTTACCGCGAAGGTGGCGTTTAATGTTGCGACAGCTTAGCTTCAGCCATATGTTTACACCACAGGGGGAGGTCTTCGCTGTGCTGTATAAGCGCAGGCGGTACGTGGTCAGGAACGATAATGTAACGCTACATTGGCTACGATCTTGCTGCAAAGAATAATTTCAAGGAGCGGTCATGTCGGTGGTAGACGCTGTGGCACCGTTTGTCTTTACGCAACCACGCGGACAGCGTGAATGCGGCCGGATTCACTCGTAACGAGTAGCGCAAGCCGAGTGCATTGTCGGGAGACTGGTCGTATTTTTACTGCTTTTCCGCAATCTGACGCGAGTTGTAGACCGAATAAGCAAGGGACGTTAATTTCCGTGTGAGCATGGCTGACGTGGGTTGTTTTCGAAGGGACGGCCTATTATTGAAAGCAGGCGTTGGATAGAAAACTAAGCTAGCGTCATGTCGTGATCGTATTTTTATGAGTGATCGTGCATAAACCTGATATGAGATATAATCACTGCCGTTGAAACTATAATGGAAACATAAGGACAGCTTTCGGCACTGGGAAAAAAACTTTTATCCGCTATGTTGCATTTTAGAAAACAGTAATAAAGAAATGCTTCAGATGAATATAAGAAAAAAACTAACGCTTGCCACTAGGAAAAAGTTTAGGTATGAAACAATTAACATGCTCTTTCTCTCAATGTGAAGTGCCGCAGTAGGACCAAAACAGACGCTTAAACGTTCAGTGTGTTAAAGTCGTTATTTCGACACAAATCATCTTCCGTGAATCATTTCTTATGCATTTAATTTTTACTCTAAAAGAAATGGCATGCAGTTCGATTTAGCACGTGGCCATCGCCTTTTTTTCAGCCTGTTAATAAAAGTGTCCAAGCAAAGTACAGCGATGAAGTTGTGTAGCCGTATCTGCGGCATTGCTGTTACGCTGTTACTGTTTTTTTTATAATTTTAATCTTGACTGAGCAGTGGCGCTACAATATCGTAAAGTCGTCATGAACACTTGTTTCTGATACGGACAGTCAATATTTTTTCGCTTACATGTGCACTTTGGTGAAAAAGAATCCGAACTTCATGCCTATATCAGCTTCAAGTGGCGAGTTTGTTTAGTACCGAGAAATTAGAACATAAATACTGAAGGCGTAAACTCCTAGCTTTCTATTTAACCTCTCACAGATTTGTTTTTGCCCAGCGGCTGTTGTTGCGCAGAGGAGTCGCCATGAGTAAGCCGGTCTCTTTCCGAACTGAGGCTCCTAGCATGCTCTAAACTTATTTGAGGGAGTCGTTAAAGCATGGTCTTCTATCTCGTTGATGAGTATTTGATGGAGTGCGCTTATAGTGCCTGTCGAAAAGTTGTCAGGTGACGATGGGGCTTTAATGACGAGAAGTTGGTGTATCCTGCTGCAGAGCGCGCCATTGAAAAAGTTGGCTTTGGTAGTCAATTTACAGCGCGTTCTGTTTTTGACAGGCTATCTACTATAACTGGGAGACTTCGTGGGCGCTCAAATATAGGATGTTCGATAAATTCTTATGAAGTTTTGAAAGCTGCTCTTAACTCATATCTTGCTTGTTGAGTTATCATAATGAATATTCAAGGATTAGCAACCATCTCATCTCGTGTTTTCGCACACAATCTAATTACCATTGGCAGTTACATCAGGACTTTGAAAGAAAGCTAATTAAGCGGGTGTTACATGTCTGCAGTATACTGTACTTATAATGGCAGCTTCCTGCATCTATATAAGTATATCTAAAGTAAAGGAGAAGCAATTTGTGTACTTCAATAGCATAGGCCTCTATTAATGATGAAAACCGGTCGCATCGTTAGACGTAGAATAAAATAGCACTGAAGGAAGGACGAGAAGAAGACACATACACGACGCCGTGTCTTTTTCTAGTCCCGTATTTATGGGTGTTTTATTCCTCGCCCACCATGCAGCAACATTCAGCCCAATCAAGCACACTGATAAAACCTATCGCACTTCTTTTGCACTTCACACGTAATCTGTGTATGCACAGATGATCCTATACAAACAGATGCGAGGACGTTCCGACCAACTGGTAAGGCTGTAAACTCATTGCATGCATACTGCGCTGTACGCTGAGTTAACGTTTTTGCGCTTTAAAATTGACCCTGGCATTTCACAAGCCGCGCGGTGTTTGTGTATGTTTTGGTTATCTTTCGTTTACCTTTAAGGTGCCATCAATTATTACTAGAATCTACATATTCCTCGTGTGCTTGGAGTAGTCTAGGGTGCGTTTCATTTATGTATGCTGGAGGATACAAAGCTTATTAGCTCGTGAATACCAGCATGTGCGTGCCTAATCACGATTTGCCTATGCGCATTAAGATGATGCACCCAATAAATCCTGACCGTTTCCAGCAGTATCCGTCCCAATTAGGCTCGCTGGCTTGCTTGCTCGCTTACTTTCTTACTTTTTTCGAGTGGATCCGGCCTGCGAACACTGTTCATTGTAATACGACTATAGACATACATACAAAGTATGATGGTAAACGCATATGTTATGGATAGCAAGTCGATCGTCGACGTGCATTAGGCGAGATAAGGATAAGTCCTACCGAGTTGTATCTCTGGTCATATGCTTGAGTAGAAACCGCTGTTCTCTGATTAGAAGGCCGTGATGCTTAAGTAAAGATGTGTCGCATCACCTTCTTCACCCCCCCCCCTCTTTTTCTTCTTCTTTTTTTGTTACTTTCTGAGACAACGAAATGTCCGTTTTCTTTTGACAGATATCTTTAACGTACGTTATAAGATGCTTTGCTTGTCGCTTTGATTGTGTCGTAGCCTGCATGTTACTTTTGTCGCGTTTGTAGTTTCATTTTGTGCCTCGTTGGAGTTGCGCTGCAGCATTGCTTTCCGTGGTAGTAGTTTTGCTTATACGTACACTTTTCTTTATATATATTCTCACTGAAAGAGGTGGATGATGGTGGAATAAACATGACTTGATAGCAACATTTAGCTGACCAATCACAACTCGTTCGATGTTCTATACTACAACGCTTTTTGTCGTTAAACTTAACAAGTCGTAACCGGCTTTTATGCTACTTCGTTTCAGTTTATTGAAGATCACTGGCTATGTTTTCTTTATTCTTTTGTTCTATTATGATTTTTAAGCAAACGGCTCTACGGCTTATATGATATAATGTTTCTGACACAGATATTCTTAAAAGTTCATTTCTTCTTCGACCCCGCAGGTCGCGGGTTCAAATCCCGGCTGCGGCGGCTGCATTTCCGATGGAAGCGGAAATGTTGTAGGCCCGTGTGCTCAGATTTGGGTGCACGTTAAAGAACCCCAGGTGGTCAAAATTTCCGGAGCCCTCCACTACGGCGTCTCTCATAATCATATGGTGGTTTTGGGACGTTAAACCCCACAAATCCATCCATTTCTTCTTCGACAATAGCCGCTGTTGTTATGGATACTGTAAACAAGCCGTGAAAATATAGACGCGAGAACTGCGAAAACCCGTGACAGAACTGGCTTCTTTCGGCAAATCATAGGCCATCACGCGCACGTCGAGCGCCCGCTACGCTCATCTGCGACTCGTATGACGGTGCCATGGAAGCTCGTAATTTTCCACTGCGCGTGCAATATTGAGACACAAACTTCAGTGATCATTTCGCCGCTGAATTGAGGAGCTTGGTTCGGTGGGCAGGTTTTCTTCAGTATTTCTGTTATCCCTTCTCGGCTGTGCTCTACTCAACAGTTTACGTCGTAACTTTAGTAACAAAAGTTTAGCTGGCTTTTTGTGTGTGTGTGGGGGGGGGGGGGGGGCGCTTTCATTGTATCTGTTTTCTGTATAATGTACTTTTTTGTTGTGCAGCCGCCGTCTCGTTTAAGTTACTGTGCATGTAAACTACTCAAAAAAAAAAACCTGACTTAATGTTGTCAACTTGACGAGTAGCCTTGATGTTACCAATCCATTCTCATCAGTCACAATGGCAACAATATTTACTATGCAGTCCCCCCCCCCCCTAAAAAAGTGGATATATTGCAAATCTACATTATTCCAACACTCACTGGTGCCGCTTCTTTTTTCACTTCTTGTTCTTTCGAAGAGTGCACTGTCTTAGTTCTGAGATTTTCCTGACTGAAGTGTCTGCAATATTTTTATTCCGAATATTTATGGCACAAAAAAAGTGCAGTCGATATGACCGCCGCGATGGGCTCTTTAGGTGGCTCTTACTGTGCAGCTGTTTAAAGCTATTGAGTAATTTTTCGCTCATAGTAATAGCGTCAATTCTGATCTTCGACTGCAGCTAACGGGTCCTTCAGCCATACCACGTGCTAACCGCAGTTAGATCGAACTGTTGTGCATGTGTTTCGTATAGCCGTGTACGAGTTCGAATGTCGTGTAATCGAATGTCGTGATCTCTTGTCATGTGAAGCGGTGAAGCTGTTACTGTGGGACCAGATAGTTTCATATCTTAACTGACCGTTACTCGATGACCGTGCATACGTCTTCTATATTTTTGGGCGATTCTCTTCATATATCATACAGGCAACTTTTCGTTTCTTCACGTTTCTTCGGAACACTTTTAGGGCTATTTTTTAATCATTTCACATTTTGGTGAAATACTCAATGTTATACTGCTTTATGCAGGTAGAAATGGCAAACTGCCGCTGGGTAGCTTTTTCACATACAACGGTCAAAAGCTTGGCCCAAATGTAATCGGTTCATCCCAAGACAGCTTGTTTGCGCTTTTTGAGTTTCGCTTCTCTGAGTCATGATTTATCTGAAGCATACAGAAAAAAAGAAAATAAACGGATAATTCACTGGGCTGGCTTAACGATTACAGAATTACAGTGCTGTGTGCGATGTCGAGTAAAATTTTGACTATGGCTGCAGCATTTCGATCACACCTAAATGCAAAATACTCCCTTGTATATACTTGTGGTTGGATCAATTTTATGTCAGAGATCTCCAGAAGATCAAAATTATTCCGATGTGCCACGCGACGCTACGGCTTGCCTCGCGATCGCGCCATAATTGGCCCGTAAGAAGACAGGAACTGAGAAATAAGACTATTTACCGTCGTTGAGGCAGCTCATCCGCTGAAAAAGTTTTGGCGTGCTCGAAAATTCAGACGCGGTTGAACGCAAGATCTACCGCTCACTAATTTGCGAAGTTATCTGCACTGCAGGATTATACAGGCGGTGTGTTTTGCAACAAACGTAGGTGATTGAGTTAGCTGGTGCATACTTGCTCAACCTAATTGGAAAATTCAGCCCCCTTTGCCGAATCATTCTGCTCCGAAAGACTGCACAGTTTGCGTAATCAAGAAAAAAAAATGAGTGGTCGCACTCTGTAGCGCCCATCTTGCACTGCTGGTGTTCACGTGTGAACGCGATGATATTGATGGTGTGGTTTTCTATGCTTCATTTTGTTTGAATTCGGTGTTTTAAAATTGATTTTTCTCCCATGAAGTTGAGAGGTGTCCTGTACTTCTCTGTTTTTCTTCAATACCGACCACTCCACGTTCCCGCGCTTGCGAACCTCGCCGTGGTTTTTTTTTTGTTGTTTTTGCATATCAAATTTCCATGACAGGTATTAAAACAGAAGGGACCGTATTTTCACGATAGTGTAGGAAGATAAGAGCATTGCTTGTCGGCTGCAAAACATTAGGTGTTCGCAAGCACAAAAGAATAATAATCGTGGTGTTCCGGCGTTTAACAATTGCGGATAATCTTTAAGCCGTGCTGCGCGCGTGAAGCTAGACCACGTTTAATGAATTTTTTCGGCGTGACGAACCTGGCAGCTGCTTTACCACATTTATCGGGCGAGTTCATACTTGCGGACCTGGGGGTGTTTTACAACAGTTTTGTTGAATTTGCTTTTTTAATGCTGCGGTTCCCCGCAAATCT